ATAATGTCTAATAAGGAAAAAAACGATAAATATGCACTACTTGAAATCTGCACAATTGTATAAATATGTAGTTGGAATTGACAAAAGACTAACGAAAGCCAGTTACGTGAAATTTATGTCATACAACCAAATATGAGTCATAAACTAAATTATAAAAATTAAGAGATATTGCTAAAGTTCATGAAGATAAATATCAGATTCAACTGTACTCGAACAAAGAGTGATAGGAAGCTCATTCTTTTTTTTCTTAGACAGATCATGATCTCTAATTTAAAACACAAAATATTTCACCTACTCCTATTTATATACTAGTCATAAAATCAATTTAGATTTCTTCGAAATTCGTGAAAAACATACTGTAAATTTCTTTAAGTTTGCTTTTGCTTTGTTGAAAAAACCCCAATAGACGTAACCTTCTCGATTGACTTTTGTAGATTAGATAAATAATTCTATCGGCTTTGATTGCGCACAAAAATCATAGTGAATCTCAACTATTATTATTTGTATCTGACAGAATATTCAGAGAGAAGAAGAATAGATAGAAAATGTTTATTCAAATGAATCTCTCGACTGTTGAGTCTGATATAAGAAACAAACTAAAGAAATACAAGAAAATTGTTTTATTTGAATAAGTTTCCATTAATATCAAAAATTGAACAGAACTCCTGCTCGTTTATACTATAAATCTCTTTTTGTCGAACGAAAAGTCGATACCAGTTATTATCATTTTTCATCAACCAGTACATATTTAACGCGATTGTTTAGTTTAACAAATCCAGCTTGCAATTATTCAGCGTTTACATGGATCTTGTCGTATTGTACTAAGCAACCTGACATTGATTTCATGTGTTGCAGAATTAAATCGACGCGGGCTCAACTGTTGTGTCATCTGTTTTTTTTTTTCGTAGTTTTGAAAACATCAAAACGATCTTATTAGTAGTACATAAATAGGAGTCGACGAAATGTTTCATTTTAAAGATAGAGAACGTGATCTATTGACTCTCACGAGAAAAGAATGAGCTTTTTATCACCATCTTTTCCAGTACAATAATGTTTGACATTCGTTCAAGAACTTTTGAAACATTCGTTATTTACCAAATAAGAATGATTGTTTTAGATCTATTAGTTCAAACAAAACGATAATACGATTCTATGCATATGAGAGAATATAATTAATTATAATACTTTTTTTTTTGTAGAATATTGATGACAAGATTATTTGTAAATTTGAAATAAATTTCTTCGATTATTCGTATTTTATTTATCAAATAGAAATTTTCAATTTTCGTTTATTATTCAAAAACAAAAAACAAAACAAAAACATGTATTTAGTCTATAGCTTGTCACAATTAAAAAAAAATGCATTACAATGGAAAATAATTATTGATGTTCAAACGAAATAAACTAATCTTCTTTTTTTTCTATAATTGTTTTCTGTTTATCATTGGGTATTATTGGTAATGTTGATATATCATGTGTGTCATCTTCTTCATTTTGTTCAATATTTTCATCATCTTTTCTCATCTCATAAGAAAATTCTGTATCATTTATCATAGTTTCATTTGGTAAACAACATAAACAATAACATACCATTGACAAAGCAGATGCTGGAAGTCCAATAACAAGCATTGTAATGAATGGTGCTTCAATAAACATTGCCACAATTGTTCGATAGATTTCCCAAAATGGACGAAATAACTGTTTTGTCCATGTATTACCTGCTTCTCGAATAATTTGTGAATGATTAGAAATAACATAATTAAGAATAGGTTCTATTTCAATATTTCGATTAATTATATGTGATAATGGATAAATACCATATTTACGATGAATACTATCATAGAGAAATAAAAGTGGTTCTTTCAATGTCCATACAGCTAGAAAATAATAGAATTGAAAAATAGAAGGAATTAATTAGAAATAGTATTCATTTACCAATATTATTAAGTAAATCAAGATCGTTTGACCATGCAAATTGAAATGTATGATGAAGTGTTGAAGTGTGTTTAATTACATAACTATGAATTTGAGATTTGAGTTCGTTTCTAAAAAAAATTATCATATACTTAAGATGACTTGCATAACAAAAACAAAATCTACGGTCATCTTCTTATAAATATATCAATTTGAACTGTATGAACTCTTGTTTATAAGTATACAAAACATTATTTATATTTTAATTTATTTATCTATAGAAAAAATAAAATCTTCCTTAATAATACAAGTTTTTCAACGAGGGCATGAATTATTAAGATAACAATTAAACTCATGATTAATCCAAGCGTGAAAATATTTCTCTTTTATATTAATTACTTATTACTAGAGGTGTAAGTCGATCGACTGAATTACAACCACCATTGCTGGTTTTTTAGAAAGATTTCTAGCCGTGAATTAGAAACTTACAGGGTAATGTAAAGGTTAGAAAATTTTTCTCAGTCATGGTACAGCGTACGAAAAAAACTTACCCTGCATATCATTATTCTCTCAACACTAGCGTTTCAATAACTGCGACATAAAGATATACACTAGATTTTTGAAAATTTTCGACATCTAAGATTAGTTTTCAGTACTGGTTTTGTCTGACTTCTTATCATTACGTCTTTTAGCATCATTTTCTCGTTTTTTCATTTCAAAATTTCAACTGTTGCCGTGGCGGATTGATGCATCGAATTACGCCGCTACTTGTTATTAATTATCATACGACCTGAATGATCTATTGATTTAATTCATTTTTTCTCTGACAAACAATATCTACTTAAGTCCGCTACAAGAAAGCAATGCAAAAGGAATTCTAATCAAATATAAATACATATTTAAAAGTACGAGAACTATAAAGTAATACTTAATAAGGATATGAAAATTTCAATCGAACTATTATGTCAATTGTCTCGATTCACTATTCAAAAGATAGAAATATATATTCGAAGTAAACGTCTCCACATGTATTATGAGTATTTGATACTACGCAACAGAGATGGACAGCTGCGATTCGGGAACGACTGAATGAATACCTGAAGCTGGAGCGAGAAGATATCGGACGGATACTGCGAACTGTAGTTTTATCATTTAAAACAGAATCTGAGTGTCACTAATTAGTACAAAAGCTAGTATGTGAAGGAGCCATAAGAAAAGTAGAGTTTTCCAATAAAATAACAATTTCTTATTTTCGTCAGAGCGGAGCTGCCAATCTTTACTACGGAAAGAACGATTGCACCATCTTTATCAATAGATATTCTTGTTTATCATATTTTTCTTTTCTAACCTTCTTTCATTTTGATTAGTGACTTCTGATTGTTCATTAAATCCATAAATAACAATAATTTTCTTTGTTAAAATTAAATCATATATATTTCCAGCTGCAACTTGTGGAAAAGTAGAAACTTTTTCTTTAATAATAAATTCTTCTAAACTATTATTATAATCATCTCGTTGATATAAATAAAATTCATCTTTTTTAATAGCAAATATTTGTGATTGATCATCGAAATTATATTTTGAAAAATATGTTTCTTGAATAATTGATGTATTTGTTGCATAGAAATAAGCTTGACTTATATATCGATTAATCGTATCATTATATTCTTTTATTAATTGATCATCTTCAGTTGTTGTTGTTGTTGTTGTTGTCACAAGTAAAAAGAAAACATCATGTTCATTACGTATTTCATTAAATTTATCTATTGATGATATCCATTTTAATGACGGTCCATTAACTCGTTTTAAAAAGTTTAAAACAGTTAATTTTGATCGTTCATTTTCATATGAAATTATTTGTGAACCACGAATAAATTTTACTGTTGGATAACCACGTATATCATAATGATTAGCAACATCAGGATAAACAGTTGCATCAAGACGTACAATACGAATATTTTTTAATTCATCAACAGTTGTTGATAAATCATTGACTTCTTTAGCTATTTCTTCATAAATAGGTTCAAATTTTCTACAATGTCCACACCTAAATAAAAATTATAACAATGTATTTTTTATTATTTTTATGAATTAGAATTCAATGAGAAACTTTTTTTCTTGCTATGATTAAACAACAAAAAAAATGTTTTTATTAAAATAAAATTCTATTAAGAAAAACAAACCATGGAGCATGAAATTTTATTAAATAACCAATCGATGGATTTTTTTTGAATTTCATCGATAATTGAAGAATCAGCATCAATCACCCATTTTGCATTAATACCAATTATACATTGTATAATCAATATTGCATAACAAATAAAAAACATTTTTTTTTATCTTAAATCTATAAAACAAAAATTTTATCAGTTGAACTATATGGATTTGTTTTTCTATTGTAGATGTTGCCACTATAGCGGTAAACTGATCTACTTAGTATGTCACTCGAATAAAAAAAAAAGAACTTTCTATGTTATGTATTTTTCTAATTTGATGGAAATTAGCTCAAAGAACGTTGAAATCGTTTGGTTAGTTAAAACAAGTTTTTGTGTGTCACAAAATATAATAGGAATTATACTAAAAAAATAGAAGAGAAAATTGAGGACAATACATAATCTCATTTTTTGAAATCATAATTTCCTTCATATACAATATAACTATAAGTTCCCAAACATATCCTTCCTTCCATTCATTGAAAATTTTTTTACAAAATATTAAATTTTGTAATAAATCTGAATGACTTTTATTATTACTATCTTTTTGTTACAACAAATAATTCTTTTTCTGCTTGTTGAATATCTTATTTCGTATACTACATCATTGCATAATTTCAAAAAACAAACAAACAAACAAACAAATATTCATATTTTCATTGATATTATTTCTGCGTAGTTATACGCGTAAGACATCTACAAAAAACAAACAAGTTATTTTTGTTAATGTAAAAAAAAAATGCGTGTTTTACAGTTTAACAAACAAATATAGTAGAATAATTCACCACAAACCAATACAAAGATATACACACAAGAAAAAAACACATCACAGATTTTCGTTTGATAAGTTTAATTATTTGATTTTATTAATATTTAAAATTTTTTATTTCTCGTTGGTAAAATTGAATCTTGTACTGAACGCATAAATGATAAAAGTCCAAAATTTTTAGCTCGTTTTCTAAAATAATTTGTAACAACATCACCACCATTATTAAGTATTGTATCATCATTATAATGAGTTCGTTGTGGTTCAGAATATTGTGGTAATACATAATCATTAGCTGATAATGATAATACAAAACAAAATGGTATCATCCAAACAAATATTGTAAAATAAGCAAGAATTTCTGGAAATGGATAATAATTATTATTAAAAAATGAAAATGCAAAATAATGATGTATAACTAATAGAATCATTGAAAAAATAAATGTTGGTGATAGAAAACCAATAACTGGAAAATCTGCTAAGATAAAAAAATAGATTAGATTTGATAGAATACCAATAGAACAAAGTGTCCATGTAAATTGTGTTTCAAATAAAACAAGAAGAATATTAAGACATGTAACAGTAGTAAGAATAAAACGAATAATACGTTTAGCAACAGTTGTATATTCTTCAATAAGTTCAGCAACATAATACATACCAGCTGCAACTGATATTGTTAAACAAATAGCAATAATAATAAATGCTATCCATGATATGGCATACATAAACCACATGATTTAGATTGTGTTTTTTTCGGTTGTATCAGTAGATTCTTAGTTGAAAATATAGAAAAGAATTGACGTGGCGATGTAAATTGAACAACTTTTCCAGATGATTCGATTGACAATGAAACGTCGTTTATCTGATGAACTAACCAATCAGATTGAAAGATAAATAGATGACACTAGCATCAAAGGAAACAATGTCAGATTGAGTTATCATATAGTTTTTTACAAGAATATATATATAAATAGAGAAATAATGTAATTTAATAAATATAATTAGTGAAAGAAAAAATGATGTTAACTGACTCTTCGACATATATCATCAAAAATATTGATGAGAGTTTTTTAACCTGTATACACTATTGTATGACAATATTTGATATTTTTTTCAAATGATTAGTTTGATTTAAAAAATCTTTGATACTCGCAACATTAATCTTTCGTCGTTTATACCTAATAAACTTCCTTGTCCTGTTGCGACGAGTTACTATTATCCAATCCAAAATAAAAAGCAGGTTACCATTTTTCGAATAAATTTTGATAGAAATGAGATAGAGAGTTGCGGTTTTCACCATTCAAAAGAATGATGTCCGGGCCATCGATCGGTATAGAACTCATTAAGACGAAAGATTTTTTATAGGTACTGTTGGATCAATACTTTTTTCTTTGAGTATTGATCCAAAAGTACCCATAAAACAAATCGTCTTTCGTCTTAGTAAGTTCTATATCGATCGATAGCTCAGACATCAATCTTTCGAATGGTGAAAACCACAGCTCTCTATCTCGTTTCTATCAAAAGTTATTTGAAAAAATGTTAACCTGCTTTTTATTTTGAATCGGATAATAGTTAATTTATTTGACACAGGAAAATTTTGAATCGCAATTGAAATGGTTCATTGTCACTAGATTAATAAAAATATATATATTTCCACTTTCTAAGACTATAATCGAACAGATAAGACGTTTTTTTCTTTGTTTGATTAACTTGATAAACGTGAGCACTTTCTCGAGTAGAATATATTTCATCATCTACATTTTGTAAAGAATATACATGCTCATACAAAAAAAGAATCCAGACGTGTTCAATATTAAGCGCATTATTAATGAATATGGATATACTTTGCATCGGATATAATTATGATTCATCAAACTGCATTGCGTAAATCTGTTCATCTAGATAATCAAATCTATATAATAAAGATGTCAAATATAATTTCATAGAGCAAATTTTTCTCATGAACACTTTTATTAGAAGCATCAATTGATAATAACAAAAAAAAACATAAGATCTTGACATATTCAAATTGATAAATTTATTTGTCTTCAAATGTTCGATTTTGTATGGGTAAAAATAATAGATTATCTTTAGTAACTTCCTTTTCAACGAGATCTTTAAATGATGAAATGACAGTTGATGATGATATTGTAATACCATGATTATAAATTGCCTAAAATGTAAGATAAATATAATGACCTGAGATTTATTTATAAAACAAAAATCTTACCTTATAATTAATATTTACAAATGGTTGAGATGGAGATGTTTGTTGAACATTAAATGTTCCTGATTTCCTTTGATTAATCATCATTAAATCTTTTGTTAATTTTTCTTTTATTATTATATGATTAATAATTGCTTGTAGAAATAATAAATGCCAACCTCTATACCATCGTTGAATTTCTTGATAATTTCGGTTTGTATTTAACCAAACATTAAGTATCTAAAAAAAATTTCTGCATAGATTTTCTTCTAACCTCGGAACATTGCCAAGTAAATTCACTTCATTTGCTTCCATATATAGGGGATTGTCACAGTAGCACAACCTCCCAATGTTTTCTGTTCTTTCTCAGATTTAATCGAGATAGAGAATTCATAGTAGAATCCTCCTGCAAGAGTTCTATTCTTGAAAAAATTTATATTTGGGACTTACGATCTTAAATTTTATAGATGGGAAAAGTCTCTACTAGAATATTTCATGCATAAAATTTTATCAATTTTGGATATTGCATTGTCGAGATAACCCTATCTTACACAGCCCGTCAAGAGTAGCTTACATATATTGAGAAATTCATATCCTACAAGGGAATATATACAAATATGGGACGCTGTTCGATTTTATATTATGATTACGAGTAGGACTCGATGATATTAAGCTTAAAAGGATTCAGACTTGCGGCCTACTGACTAAATGAAAGCAAGGTATTTTCGAAAAACCTAAAGCAAAGAGTTTTAACAAACATGTCTTTCTTGAGATATTCATTATTCGAAAAAATCAGCGATTTACGATGGGAAGAAACAATAATCGAGTCTACTTCAAAATCGGATATCTTGAGAAAGACATATTCATTTTCGTTGAAACTTTCAGAATCCGTTAATGACTAGCAAATATGTCGATAGGATCGAAGCTCTTTCTTTTGGATTTTTCAAAAATGCTTTGCTTTCATTTCAATAGCCCGTAACTTTTTATTTATAAGGGATGGGTTCGAATTATTTCAAGTTTGTCTTAGTCTCACTGAGACCTACTCGTAACCGTAATACAAAGTCGAACGACATCTGACAATTGGATATGTTCCCTCGTTAGTAATGCAATATGAACGTTACACTACTCTAATATCTAAAATCAAACAAAATTCATCAATGAATAGTTTATTAATTTCACTTACTAATTAATCATATGTAAAAGAATAAGTAATTTATTTACACTAGTTTTTTCATCTGACATTGTTTATTGTATATAATTTAAATCATATTGTATCTTCATCAAAATTTTCGTTTAAAAAAAAATACTAAATTAGAATTATGGATGTAAAAAGATGAGAAACTCTCAGATGACTAATTGTAAAGATCTTAGAAAATAATCGACAGATAGTATATTATTTTCTCTCAATCACAATCTATCTACATATATTTAAAAGGTGGTAGAAAAAGTTTAGTAACAACGTATTTTTGATGCTTTTTCTTGTATAAGCTTCTGTTTGAGTGTAATTATTTTACTATCATGCAACGACATATAGCATGTGACCCAAAAATACTATCACAAATGTTGACCGATATTTCTCTTCGAAAGAAAAGTGTTGAAAGAAAACTTTTTGTAGCAGAAGATAGAAAATCTTTTTTTCTTTCTTTTGAATCGTATATAATTTTATCACACATTCATAAACGAAATGATACAACACAAAAGAGAAGTATCCTCAAAATAAGTCCACATTCTTTATAGTAAATACATATTAGAGCAATTATTTTTTTATCAACTGCTTCATACACCAATCAATAATTGTAAATAAATTAAATGTCACATTAACGCATTTACATTGCAAATTTCTTTGCGACCTTCATCATTATGATTCATTTTCATCTACGTATGTTATTGAACAGTGTTTGAAAGTAATGCTCAATTATGTATATTTTTACACTTTGAAACCTTCGATAGTGTTTATGATTTCGAAATAAATGAAGATTGTCGATAGCCTTCACTAATCAGAAACGTTAATAGAAACAAATGGTGTTTCGAGTGCAGTTTTTTAAACCTTCTATATATTGTCGGATCATGATTAAATCACACATAAAAAAAAGCAGGCAATGCGAATAACGATGCGCTGCTCTTATTAGTAGATCAAAGATTTTCGTCAATGAACTAAGTTGAAATATTCAATACATAGGGTGCATGATATTGGTAAATGATACGTAGATGAATAGGCTGCTTTTCGTATAAGCTAGATAGTATTACATAGTAAATTGAATTATTAGTTAGAAACCGTTTCCTTTGTAATTATAAATGACAATCTATTGATGCACTTGATGTACTAGCTAAACTTCAATCATATCTTGATCAATAGAATCCAATAAAATTTCATCAAGAACTTATAGATAAAAATAATTAAGAAGAAATACTCGAAAAATATTTTCCTTCAAATGATGTAATGTTCATAATGTTTGTGTTATTAATACATCACTTGCATTGTGACAATCCACTTGGCAACGCACATCTAGGTGATCCATGTTTATTAACATTATATCATTGATATGTAAAATTAATCGATTTGATCAATGATAAAACATGGGAAAAAAATGGTGCAACAGCTATTATTGATCATGATTGTAATCTCGAACTTGTTTCATATTTTGTTTAATGAGCACTTCTTGGTATGACTGAATATATTCTTAATAAATGTTCAACATCTATTTTAGAAGACAATCGTATAGAATTTGAATAAGTATTAACAGCAAAAAATTATCTTATTTAATAGATATTAAAACAATTTATATATATATATATCTGAACGAGATACACAAATAATTGATACATCAAGAAATATCAAGGAATTTATTAATGCTTGATCAATTGAAGGTTTTACTGAAGAAATAGTTGCATCATCTGGAATGGCATTGGAAACATATGAAAGAAATATACCTGAGGGAATATTATTCTATGATGAAAACAAGTGACCTTGTATGATCTAGTATGTTATACCCCCGCCAAAGAGTGAACACCTGAGTGAATTTTTTTTTGTTTATTCTATGTAGCTTTTCTAACAACAATTTCTAGATTCATTCATAGATATCAAGTGAGGAAATAAATGGAATGATTATAAAACATAAGGAATTATATGGTATATCAAAAATATTAATTATTCCAAAAGAAGATAGTAATAATAATTCAGCTTTTATCGTTCAAAAGTTCATTATACATAATTATCAAATTCAACCTAAAATTCGTCTATTAAGTGATGGTTCTAATGAAACTTCTTCTTGGTAGTCCATATGCACATTCTTGGTGGACTGGTAGGTATAATTGATATTCATGAAGCAAAATAATTAGTACCAAGACAAAATGCAACAACATTATAAGTAGCTATTAGTGCTGTTGCAACAGTTAATTATTGTATAAATCATCCAAATGAAGGGTTTTAGCTACCAGATGATATTGATGTTGATGAAATACTTGATATGTGTATGCCATATTTAGGAAATTGGATTTCAAAAGCAATTGATTGATGATCAGTAGATGATAAGATTACAAAAGATTGACAATTTACATCGTGTCTAATTATTGACTAAATGATTTAAAAGAACTTTTTTTTTTATTAATATAATAACAAAGAAGCAGAATCAATCCCAAACTCAGTATTTTACCAAGCGTGAGAGCAGCGTCCCTTCTGAAATTTCTGGAGAATGACTCATCAGAAAAATTTTGAAATTTTCAAAGTAAGTAAATCTTGACAAGTCGAGCAAAAATTGTCATATACTGAAAGTTCTCGAATGCTGTCTTCCATGAGATATTGAGATCACAATGATGAAAAATAGTCTCCGTCCCCGTTTCTCCGAGATGCTATGCTCGATCGAGCTGATCATTTTTTTTACAGGCACTAGATACTCTTTGGAGTGGATATCTTTTTATATTTTGCCCTTTGAATAAAAAACACCAAAATATCGAAGGTACCCTTAAAAACGCATGTTTTTTTGAAAGAGATAATAAAAATCAGCAGAACGATATTTTTTGAAGCAGGAAAAGTACTCATTTCATAGTCTTGATATACTCATGGCAGACTATAAATCTCTTCAAGTTACATCTGTCTGTGAACAGTTTTCATCGATCTAGCATATTTATTGTGGTCGTTTAGGTTTTATTTCACATATTAATTTTAGCGGTAGCAGCAGCTTCTTTTTTTAAGAGAGATTATAAAATTTCATAAATTCTCACCATATTTCAGTGTCCATAAGTCCCACAGTTAGAATCATCGTGAATATGATGAATTTAAGTTAACTGTGCTAATTTAGCAGTGTGACAGAAGAGATTTTCGAAGAATTTTTCAGAAATTATAGTAGTAGTAGCAGATTTTCAGTCGCAATGGACATCTGTAGTAAGAAAACTAAGTTCACTAAAATGATATACCAATACAAAAAACTTACTCGTTTAACAAAGCATACGTCTGCCAAAACTAGACAAAAGAAAAAGAATTCTGTTTTTGAGTAAGAATATCTTTAACTAATATGGGAAAGTATATTATATTCCTTCATATGACGATAATATAAATATAAGTAAGAGAGGACGATTCATGTAAAAAAAGTTCATAAGAGAATGCGAACAGATGCTTACCGAAATGAACAATGTACTCAAAAACTCTTATTTAATCATGATTATGTTTAGTCAAAATAATCGTTTCCCTCCTGTCAGTTGTGAGAATACTCGACTACATGTATTTGAATGCCTGGATTTCTTGTTGAAAAAAGCAAAATTTTTTGTTTATCGAAAATGTAGAAAAAAAAAATCATGACCAGCAGATAGTGTGTCTCTATGTTAAGCGATCTACCTGACCTGTTCTATGATATACTTTCGAAAATCAGAGTCAAGCAGGTATGACGACTAGTTTCAACCTCCGTTAAATATTAACTTCGAGAACAGTGATATGATGAGATGAAACACAATGTACCATCGATCCAATTTCATAAACGATTTTTAAATTGAAATTATAATTCCTGCTTCATATGCATTTTAGATACGAGAAATTGGACATGTAATAAAAACTCAACGTTACAACAACAACATTCAATTCATTCTAAAAATCTGATTTCATTCAAGACTGACTCGAAGCAGATAACATTGCAGCGATGTAAAGATTTTTTTTTTCTAAAGGCAACGTAAGAAAAATTTTCAGTTCCGCTGGAAAAAAAATAAAAAGTTTACTTGATTAGAGGGGTGGCACATCTCTCTCTCCCCGATTGGGTTATCTCTATATTCATCCTTATATATTCTTGTAAAAGATAATATGAACAAAATATTTCTTTCTTATTATTGCTATACAAATTCAACAGATGTCGTTCAACTACAATAATTATTCAATCTATTATAAGGATTCGTTCACTCATTACAAAACAATCATTGAATATTGTTGTTATTTTTTTATTATCATTAGAATGTACCATGTTGTAGGATACACCTGATATTTTACGAGTATTTTATTAGTCATATATTTATCTGTATAGTTTTGTTTGCATTCCTGACGTATGTTCACATTATTAATGCGACCCTTTTTTTCCCTCATCGTCCTCCGCCTTTTTTTTTCTTACGTTTTTCTTTTTTTTTTTTTTTTATATCAATAATTGAAGAGGTGTAACATGTGTTTGACGCCACCAACAGAATAAAATAAAAGGGAACCTTTTTTTATTTGACGAACTATAAAATATCCTTGTGTATCTATGTTATAATTTCGTTAGTTAAAACAACCGATACTTAGATCTTATCAGTTAATTGAGTCTATTTTTATATTGAGTCATATTGTTTACCAATGACTTGTCATCGAGATACGTTCTTATTTCGTTTTTTTTTGTTCGTTTGTTGATCTACGTTCCCTTTATTCTTCATTATTTTTGTCGCAAGCGTTTTACATAACAACAACAAGGTAAGCTGTTACCAATGAGAGAAAAAATAAAATGAAATGTCTTTTTGTGAGAAGCAGAAAAAAAACTTTTTTCTACTTTTAAAAACCAAAAGCGGAAAGAAAAAGAATTCTGATGAACTTGTACATCCCGCCTCATTGATTTACCTTCATCATGCTAATTATTTTTTTTTCTTTTTGTCACTATGACTACACAGAAATTGTGTATCTTTTTTTTTCTAAGAAAACATTCATTATTACAAACATATTCCGGTAGGTCTATGTATCTATTCTCGTCCTATTGTTTCTCAGTATTACAGATCCTAAAAATAAATTGTTTGATCAT